CGGACTGCGTTGCCACAGTTGGACGGTCAGTTCAATACCGTCCCGCACTAAAAAGTTTGGCAATTCGTTTTTATGCCGAACCATCAAATTGTGAAACTAACTCCCGGCGCATGTATTCCCTCCCCTCTATAACATCGGGTCCTTCAAACGTAGTGTTTGCAAAGCAAACAGCATTTGACCAGAAGCTTTTGCCAGCAAAGCTTCTGGCAAAGCTTTTAATGCTTTTGACAGCAAGAAGCATTTGGCCAGACCGGCAAAATGATAGTGACGGAGTGAAGATATTTGTGTTTTCCATCCGTTACTCTCATCTCTGGACTGTATTCGCACTTTCCATCAGGCGCGGTGCAGTCATTTTGCCGAGTCACAATAAAAAAAATTGAAAAAAAATGGAAAATTGACACTGGCGACGATCGTCATATTTTTTATATTATTCTTATAAAACTGACACTGGTCCAAGACTAGTGGCTGCCATTAAAAAAATAATAATACTTTATATTAATATATTAATTTAATAATACACCAGTACCGGTGGTGTAGATATAGTATGAAAAATTGAATATTTTTTTAATATTAAAAACAGCCACTTGGTTTCCAACTATCGATTAGGTAGGACCACATCCCTCGTTGAGTAGCGTCAGTTTAAGGTTAATAAGGGTAACAATTCACGGAGCGGTTTCCGTGCCGCTATCCGTGCCTGTCTATCCGCGCCGGCCGGTGCTGATAGACAGCGGTTTTATTTCAATACTCACGACCCTGCAAGTTTGTGCTGGCACGTAGCTGCCGCGGTTGCGGGTACGAAACCGTTGCGATTGCGGAACGGACCGCGAAGTTAGTGGGAGTTAATTGCAAGTCGCGCGGTTAATAGAGAACTTACCCTGCGTGCGCCTGAACCGACCGCCAAAGTGTGCGGGCGACGACGGCCGCCAAGCGCGCAGGTCATCGCGTCCTGCGCGGCTCTATTAGTACCCCGCTGCGGCAACCGCGAGCAACCGTCACCACTACAGGCGTAAAATGCGCCGTGAATTGTGCTACTAATTTTACATACTTAACTGTTACATTGTACAGATGTCGCGGTTCCGCGGCACACGGGGGTGAAAACCGCTCCGTGTGTTCTTAGTGTAACGAAAAATGAGTTTCAGCGCCATCTAACGTGTAGTTATTTTTACTAAAACGCCACCTCTCGTTAAAACGGATATATCGGGAAAGCACTACGGCCAGCACTGTACTGTGAAAGGATGGTGATGAGAATGAGATAGTTAAATACAGTATACAAAAATCCCCTTGCCCCAAAAACATTTGAGAATATTTTTTATGTTAAGTATATATTTTGATGAAACCTAAAATTTAGTCTTGAAACGGTAACTATGTGAAAATATATGATGTCTTAGGGTCAATACAGACGTCCTGTATTCTGCAAAATTACGTTTACTGTGCAGTAAGCACACCTGCATTAACACTGTTGGCATTTGGGCAATTGAACAATTGTTATTAATCTTGTTATAAATTAAGTTTAATACAAGTTGTCATCAGTTGTGATGCAATTGCGCCGACAGCATTGAATTTCTTTTTAAATTCCCTTCGAACTACCGCGCAACAGCCAGGTTGTCTGCACACACCTTTGTTGCTAAACAGGGATGTCCTCAACATTACTGTCTTTTCCCAATCACACGTCCACACTTGAATTGCTCAAGTATCAATCTCAAAGATATGAAATAATATATTGCAATAATGTATATATTACACAAAACGAGGCCTTAAGCACGCACAGATAAAAGTGTCTGATAATGATTGACGACTGATTCGACAATGATATGGTGATAAAAAAAAATGTCATTTTTTCATCATCAAACAGATCTTTTATTGTGTCGTCATGTCGCGAAACTCCCACGTGGCATTAGGCGCCGCACAAACGTGTGTCTTATGTTAGATACGCAAGACTACTGTTGGGTAATTTTCCGAAAAATTTCAAATAGTGGAAACTTTTCCGAAAAATTCCGAAAAATTGGAAAATTATAATTTTGACGGCTCATATTATTTTTCTCCGTTTAGAAATATCTTTTGAAGTTTTATTTAGCGTGAAATATAAAATAAACTTGTGTACTTAGAGCTTGTCTAACTAAAAGCCACTTAGAAAAAAACGATTTGATAATATAAAATGATTTGACAACAGCTAAAAAAACCTGTCTAATGGCTCCATCGTTTTCGTTCAGTAACTTTAACTTTTGACAGGTGTCAACGTCAAATGTTAAAAATTATAGGAAAAACAGTGAAAAAACATAAAATATTTATTTTTCTGAAAAATATCATTTTTCAAAATGGTAATTTTTCCATGATCCTACACAAGATACACGTTGGAGTTGGATACTGGCAACTAGAAGCGAATATTCGATTTTCATACAATTGATTGATACGATCGACACAGTCGCCGGTTGCGGCGGTCGGACACTATCGCCGGTTGCCGCAACCGCAATTTATATGAATATAGAACATTCGCTTCTAGTTGCCGGTTGCTTGTACCCAACACAAGACACGTTTGCGTGGCGCCTTAAAAGTCTTATTTATAAAACACGACGACGCTGAAACTTCCTTTCTTTTGATTGGAAATCATTTGAAACATGTGAGAACGTGTAAATCATAACTCATTTAGAATCATAACTCACATACAAATGGAAAAAATGCTTATTAATGTTAAACGTTAAATCGTTGTACTTTTTAAATAAGCGAGCTTATAAAAGCGCTTTTCACTTAAATGCTATGTAATTTAGTTTGATTTGAAACTTATAAAATCGTTGCAACATTGTGTTGACAGCGAAAAACGAGAATATACTTTTAGGTAGTTATAATTTGTAACATTATTATACACACTCTCGAATTAATTTGTTTAGGAAATATAGATGGCGGTACTTGACACTTAGGCACGTCGTAAAAAATTAAATTGTTGAGTATTGAACTGAACATAGCTTACAGCTTAAAATTAAAGCTTGTGTATATGCTTATATTAAAAAATAAACTTTTTAATGTGCTTTTCGTTTAAACGCCCACGTCTACATTTCGCACACGAAACCAAACACTATGAATGAATGAAACCGATATATTAAAAAAATCTCGTTTTTATTAAGTATTTTGTATAAATAAAAATAATCACATTATTTGCAATAAGTTCTATTCAGTATTTTTTTTAAATTTTCGAATTGTATTTTCTCAATCCCATTATTTTGACCACAGTGTTTGGTTTGATGTGGGATTTATTTTTGGAATATGGAAATAGGGTAACATAATAGAAGCCCGAGATATTGCTATTCTCTATGAGAACCTTCACTTGTTAAATTTTATTTATATTCTGTCTGATAGTACTAACTTTTTATGTGATTGCAACAAAGTACAGTTGAATCGAAAGTTGCTAAAAATTTATTATCACAATTTACACGAGATAAATATAATTTTTTATAAAGTTCAACACAATGTCAAGTGTGATGCTCAGCACGTATAGAGATAAATTTACTTTGTACGGAGCGTGTTGACGATAAATGAGGCTATCAACACAAAAGTCGTATAACCCACATTTAATTTGTTTTCACCTCTCTAGCTCGGAAAGGCTTTTTTTCTCATTAGGAATCTGCGCGCAAAAGCGTTTTTGGAATTCGAACTTGACAATGGACTACGATGCACTCTTCAGCGTAAGATCCTTAAGTTTAAGTCTTGAGTATTTCACTAAGAAGCTGATAAGAGGCTTTACTTTAAAATATGAATTATTCAGGATACGAAAAGCCTCAATAATGTTAATGAAATGTAAACCTCAAATCCTTAATCTTTCGATGAAAAAAAAAAGACAATGACACGTTCAACTACGCGATTTGTCGTACATTACTTATCTTAATAATATAAATCCCTTGGTATATTTTATTCTTATTATTGTTGATATTAAATTAAAAATGATGATTAATTATGTTTATTATATTATTTTAATTCGTCGAAGAACTAACATCATTTCAATAATCACTTAATCACACAAAATTATAGGTACAACATTGACCTACCAATTCAATGAGGTACAAGCAAGAATAAAAATTGATGAGGCCGTAACTAAACTTTTTTTTTTGAATAATAAAACTGATGTTTTAATGTTCAACTGTTTTTCTTTCATCTACCATTTTCTTCGCTATAGTGAGGGTGAAAAGTTGTGTGTTTCGCTCGGAAGCAAAGTTGTTTTGCGTCTCGTGCCTTAAAATCCTCGCTACGCTCAGGAATCTATTTTTAAATCTTAGCTTCCTTCGCTTACTCAGTTTTCAATATACAAGCACTCGCGTTAAACAACAACTTTGCAACCTTGCATAACAAATAACCATTCTACCAATTTATTTTAATGATATTAAAGTACATAGTTATAGCATCCTAGATTGAGGTATATCTTTCTATCTTCTTGTCGAAGGATTTTTTTCACACAACTCTTCAAACGCATAAATCTCCAATTCGTCATGTGAACTAGAGCACGAACTATAAATAAATAGATTTACGTTCTTCCACATCATTCCGCGTTTCGAATTCTATTGTTATAGAAATACAATAGGAAATTCAAACAGCCAAATCCTAGGATTTCAATAAGCGATATGACGAGACAACAAGACAAACACCTACCGCATCCTTAATGCGAATAAACCCTTAGAGGTCCTTGGAGGGCTGTGGGACGGACGAGAGTTAATACAATGCAGTAAAGTGCGAAGTTATTCTTACTACTGAATAGTCGTACCTATAAACTATCAATCGCTCATCATCATGATCAACCCATTTATACGTCCCACTACTGGGCACGGGCCTCGTATCAGGCGAGAAATCGTGTAATTCCGTCGCACACTCTCCGTGAAATTCCGAGAAACTGAGAGGTGTGTGACCAGATTCGAACCCACGGTCTCTGTTTGAGAGGCGGTAGGTCAGAGCATTAGGCTACTACGGTTTGTTAAATTATCAATCGCTCAAATAGTTACAAATCTCTTATATTTCAGAAGGTGAACACGTCTCACTAAAATGCGGTCTTTGGTGCCTCTTCGGAATGCTAGTCTTTATAATAGTAGAAAAATTATTCGCCGCCTCAGAGGAAAATGAAGAAAACGAAAGTGAAATAGTCCCAGCACAAAATGGCGCCATAAACCAAATAGAAATAGAAGAGATTGAAAAACTTCTAGAAGTCGAGAGAAAGAACCGAGGAAATGATACGGGCACGGGTCTTTGCGGTGGCAATGGTAGTGTCACGGCCAAGCAGTTGTATGACACGTGTGTCTTCAATAACAATACTAAAGGTGAGCGATATTTATAGTTTAAAAACGAAATATTACACTCTTTATTTACTGAAAAATTTATACGATTTATACCACTTAAGACCCGAAGAATTTTAATTTAATTTTTTTTGTATACCGTTGGACTTGTCATAGAAGAATTAAACGAACAGTAAAGTTGTTTAGACTTTGTGCTTGTGCTGAAAATCTCTGAAAGTCCTTGGTTATTGTTTTTCAAATAAATGTTTAATTTTTCTCTACTTAATTTTGGTGGCAATTTTTATTATTTCAGTATTCCATGATATATTATTATCGTGATATATTTATTAAATAATATTTCAGGATATTGCACTCGAATATGAAATAATACTTCATCATAATATTTCTAAAAATTACCCAAATAAAGGTAAAAATTAGTAAAAGGGTATGAAAAGGAACTTCGTCGTATGTTGCTTGCGTCGTTTTATTCCGTAAAGATTATTATCAAACAAAGTACGCTGGTTGTGTGTATTTTTTGCTATATTAGATTTACTACTGTATTGTAAACCTCTTTCTACTAGTCGAGTCTGTGAGTCGGATACACTCAAAAGGCGTAAAATGTTAGGCGATGTTGCCGCTGCTGCGTTTTTGTAAAACTTCGAGCACGTTTGTTGAATCACGCACAGACGGTTTTATAATAATAATAACGCATACACTCAACATAGCCCCGCACTAGAGAAACCCTGTGTCGCGGGTGCCATGGACACACATAAACAACCACAAATTACATCCAAACTCACGAGATAAATAAATCGCACCCCTCATGGAAGAATGGCATAAGCGGCATTGGCATACGTCAAACGTGTTTATTGCTCCATTAGATACAGAAAAAATATTCCCCACATTTTCTCCAAATGGAGGTTAGATACAGAAAAACATCAATTGGAGAGGATGTAGGATACATTTTTGTAATAAATAAATATTGTACATATACAAATCAAAACAATTAACGAAACTAATAAATAACTGAATTAAACTAACAATGTCAAGTGTAGGTACCTACTTTATACAGGAAATGTCAATATGGATTCTTAATAACTTATAAATGTAAATTAAAGTATACGGTGAATGTCAAATTCATTAATAAATATAATACTTTAATTAATTGTTTGTATAGTACTTTGAATGTACTCTGTTACTAAGTAAAGGGACTTTTCCAAGAAAAGGTTCTTCAGTTTGCGCTTGAACGTTTCTTCACAACATTATTTTTTTAGTTCGGCAGGTAGGTGCTCGTAGTAGGTCGATCATATAACCCGCGGGTGGTAACCCAGAGTGTGGGGCAGCAGTAACAGCATCTTGAAGAACCCACTCAAAGGACGAAACCATTATTAATTATTAACTACTAATTTAAGCTGAGTTACTAATACAGCTGTGGACCTAATATGATGTCTGAAATAGAAATAAATTAAACTGTATACTCTGCTACATCTTTCAGGCGAAGGCGCATGTTGTAACAGTATTGCGACGAACGGTGCTGTGAAGTCATGCAAGAGCAACCGCTGGATGGGGCGATGCCTTCTTAGGGAGGCCAAGGAGAAGGCGCTCAAGTACAGCAAGGAGAAGCACGATAGGCACGACAAGAAAGACGTGAGTTTATTATCATTTCAGAAATTCTTTACATCTGCTACACATCTTTTTAAAACTAGAGCTCCGTGTGAAAGAGTTCGTCTAGGGAAGTGCTGCCATCTTATCTATTTCTGTCGGCAAGCACTAATGTGAGCATTACTGCGTTCCAGTTTGCAAGGACTAGTATGCTGGTGAAATTACAGGCATATGGGACTTGTCAAATTATGTCTCAGGGTGACGGGCATAGTGGCAGTGCTCACGACAATCGTCTGGTATCATTAAGCCCATCGCTTCGATTGACTCTTGCTTCGTCATTTTCTTAAGTCCGTTCAAGGTTCTTTCTAGGCCACTGTTCAGCTCGTGTTATTATTTTCGATCGATTGATTAAATCGCAAGGATATGCTGTCACTGCCAGTGACGTATACGAAAGTTGCTACGTACCTGTAGTTTTACCAGAACCTTTAACATACAAACCAAAACGCAGAAATGTCAACATTACGGCAGTAATAGGTGACAGTACCCCCTGAACGGCTTTCACAAGGAACTCTACTGCTACTAAAATAATGTTTTCTGACTACATCTGCTACTAGTGTTGCGGATCTTGATCGTTCAACAACTTTGTAACTATTGATTGCGAACATTTTTTTCGCTGTGATAAGCATTTTATTTCCGACCTCACGTAGCTTTCTTGACCTTCCCGATAAGCAGGTTTCCTCACGATGATATTGTTATCTAACCTGTATATTATTCCAAATAAAGACATACCGTGCCGTGATTTTATCGCAATATTTTTCTTAAGTACGATTCACACGTGCGTCAACAGGTTAATTCCTTATTTTACAATAGGATTTCTTTAATTGTTATATATCTGCGCTTCCAGGTAGCAGGCTACCTGAACCTGATGGCGAACTCGATCGACAACTTTACGCACGGCCTCGCAGTGGGCGGATCTTTCTTGGTTGGATTTAGGGTTGGTCTGCTCACCACATTCGCTATACTCGGTAAGTCGACTTTTGTAAATTTTATCCGACGTCTAAGCTCTAATGGCCACTTTCGGTAGCTATCTAAACTATTCTTTCGATCAGGTTCTTAATGAAGTAGTCATGCAATATTAGATTGCTATGTTTCGGCTTTCCTTTAATCTTGTCATGGGCCATTATCTCTGTCCACCTACATAATTCTTTCCATCTGCTTCTAATGGGTAATAAGTAATTTGGAACTGATGAAAAGAGTGCAGGCCATAGGTCAAAGAAAACGATTTGACATTTATAAAGACATTTTGGCTGTTATTATCATAAAGAGCCAAGTTCTAAAATCTAAGAGAGATAATTTTCTCTGCAATGCCTACCTGGATAGGTACGACCGCTCTATACGTATATTTCTACAGCAAAGCAGCGCTGCTTCTTTCCGCTTTAAAGGGATCACTGGCAGAGTAGATGTCTTCCACAAAATCTTACGACTCATGTAAAATCTTACGTCTCGTTGGCGAAATGTTTATAGAAGTGTCCTTATACATAGAAGGCGGTAACAACTAAGTTCTGCCGAACATGGTACCTACCAAGAGCTTAAACCAATAAAATATTTATGTATATACAGGTGTAATCGTTAAGTGTGCCAGGCGATTATTCCGTAATACCTATAAGGGAATCAAAAACATTTAAACTGATATCCAAAGTACTGTAATAACTAAAACGACATCAATAACTTTTTTTTACAAAACTAGAAAAATCCAAAACAACAATAAGTTACAGCTAACGAAACTGTTATAAATTAAGTTATAAACCTATCTTTTAATTGAGTGAAAACAAGTGATGTTTATTTTTAAATAAGTACAAAATTTTGTATTCAAAACAGTTAGTTGTTCGAAAGCCTCTAGTTAGTTTGTTTCGATACTTTAATGTTGGGTGGTTTCAATCCGTTGTGTCTAAACCGACAAGTAGTGCCACGAAGTTTTTGTATACATATTTGGTTAGGTAGTACTTTGATTTTTCTGTTTGTACTTTTTTTCCGTATTCTTTTTGTAATGGGGCTGACATGTTCGATAATGGTCAAAACTCCTAAAGAAATAGAGTTAAAAAATGGTTGTACATAAACAAAACAATATTACCCTATTGAATAATTTCATATTATTTCAGTACATGAAATACCTCATGAGGTGGGCGATTTTGCTATATTGCTGAAAAGTGGATTCTCTCGGTGGGAGGCGGCAAAGGCACAAATGGTAAGTTTTAAATTTTCTATATTGCATAATTCGTCCCTCACAACATAATCATGAAAATTTAATTTGTTTTGTAATGATGTAATTTACTTTTGTCACAATTGTTAGTTACGTGCATTAACGTTTTTAAGTACGATATAACATCGTATAACAACAATTCTTATATCTCGTGGTCCTATAAAAATTATTTGAATGCCATAAGACTCAATAATTTGTTGTCACAGAAAATAAACAAAAAATATTTATTATTATAAAGTTGGTATTTGTTAGAAAAATTAATCTTTACAATTTTAGGCGACAGCGTCAGCAGGTCTGATCGGCGCCATGACGGCTGTCATATTCAGTGGGGCGAGAAATGCTATTGGTAAGTCACCTTTGACATTACTTATCGACAAACGTACATTATAGACCAGGGGCACGACTTGTTCATTCTGTCACTTGGTGTCATAAAAAAAGTACACTCAGCGACAGAGACGACAAACTGGGTGCAAATTTATGCACTATGTAATTGGAAGTTGAAGTTAATCGTATTTCAATGGCGTAAATGCAGGTTCAGATTAATTTATTTCACAAATATAACAATACAGTATAAATTGCATTACATGTCAAAGGCACTACATGAGATCATCAGACAAAAATGAAAATTATAAGAAAAATTCACAATAATTAGTAAAATAAATAAATAAATAAAATATTCACAAATAAATTAACAATTCATTATGTAATATTGTTGTCATTAAATTACATATCAAATATCATTCTCCATCAAGGATCGTCATAAGTTGATAACAATTATACAAGAGTATGTCAATGTGGTAAAAATATACTCAATATCGTTACAATTTTTAGTCCAATTCATTTACAGAATATAAAGGATTTTTCAATAAAAGGTCTTTCAGCCGGCGCCTAAATGTTTCGTCAGACGGTTCAAGTCTGAGAGTAGCGGGTAAACGCTCATAGTAAGTAGGTCCGATGACACGCGGGTTTTTTTCTATAAGTTCTCAAATGACCGGCCATTATATATATTTGCTGTTATTCCATAAAAATACATTATCTTAGTACCGTAATATTTCTATTTTTCTTTCAGAAGCGAAAACTTCCTGGATAGTGCCATTCACGGCTGGCGGCTTCCTGCATATTGCTTTAGTGACCGTGCTACCAGACCTACTCAGAGAAGAAGACAACTGTCAATCCTTAAAACACTTAGCTGCTCTCATTGCCGGCATAGTTGTCATGGCTCTACTTACACATTATTGTGGCTAAACAAAATGTGTACTAGTAAAAATGTGTAAAGTATAACTTCTAAAGTGAACTTTCATTCAAGTGCTATAATGAACTCTAGTGACACTATCTGTATTGTATTACTTTACCTACTCATATCACTGGTACAGTCGTCAACGCTCCACTAATAACACGTAAGTCATAGAAATTTTAAAAAATGTGTGTAATTTTAAAGAGGATCTTTGAGTGCTATTGTGACATTACTACGAGAAGAACATACCTGGATATCCTTAAAATATTTTGTTAACTGGTGTCACGCCTCCACTTTACTTGTGATTAAAAAGTATGTTAAGGTATAATATGAACTCGCCTTTTCGTGCCAAATTAGACCAAAGTGGCATTATCAACCTACCTAAATCTTAAAGCTTACAAATCGAACTAGATATAGTTTTAAGTTACTTAAAATAACGTGAACATGCTAAATGGGACAGATAGCTGCAATCTACGAACTTTTTTCGCGGTTATTTACTCGCAACTTCGAATTGCTCTAATAGTATATAATATTGTGTATAAACATTGTTAAAATCTAAAGTGAACTTGCTTTTATGTACTGGATGCTAGTGTTTAAATGATAAAGTGTTATATTGTAGCTGTAAATTTATTGTGTAAATAGAAAAAAACTACAAATTAATTATAACTATATGTACATATAATATTATTCCTTGTTATTCCTTCAGATTCGATGGGATTATTGTCAATGAGATTCACCCTTATTGTAACTTACGTACACATAGTAATGTAAAGGTCCGACTACATCGGTCCTTTACCGGTCGGTTGTCTTAAGTCGGCCTCAGATTACTTCATAGTCCAACAGAGACTGAGGAGCCGGAAAATTTTCGTCAAATGTGTTGGATCCTCTGAGTATTGTACTAGCTCAAATTAGGTGCAATCTTTGGCGCGAAAGAGTATCATCTACATTTATCCCGCTTTCTGAGAGCATTCCTCCTGGACACGAATTGCTTTCGCCGAGTCTGTAAATAGGCTTCGGACCCAGGTTGGTCGGAGTAAGGACAATTTGTTCAGGTAGGGATTTTTAGATAGTTCTAACCTGGATTATTTGTACGATGGTCACATCGTGCCTTGCGTGCCCACCTACACGCTAGAGAATTTAATGGCGGCTACTACTACACAATAGTTGTGGGTTCGATATCGATTCGATAATAAGAAGTTGCCTTCACCCTTTAGCACCAATGGACGTAATTTACAATTTTGCCGAAATAAAAGTATTTACGTAGTTTGATTCAGATTTCACCTTCCGTGTTGTGGTGCAAATAAATAATTTTCGTCATTATTGGGAGGTACGCTTGTGTTTATGCCGCTAGGTGGCGCATGGCATCTGGTGCTGTTAGGATGTCAACCTCCATAACGTCGTCTTAGAGTGAATACTTAGGGCATCTTCAAATTAGATGCTTGAAGCGATGCAGTGACGCGATAGTGGCGGGGCTGGCCGCGCTAATAATATATTCATAATAATACTAATATTCATACACACTTGTGTTGTGATACACACGCACGCCGCTTTTGAAGGCGCCCTTCGTATATGACTTCTATGTCATTTTTCAGGACGCTAAATGTGATATAAAGCATAGTAAAAAGTTTGTAGTTTGTTTTGTTGTAGTTTGCATTTTAATTAGTTAAATTATATCTTGTGTCTTTGAGATGTTAGATTACTTTAATATTATAAAATCCGTTAAAACAAAGTAGGTAAAAATGTTGACGTCCTCGGTGGCCCAAAGGTTTGCGCTGTGAGCGCTGGATGCGGTGGTTCCAGGTTCGATTCGCTGTAGGACCAATTTGGGTAATGTAACTTTCCTAAATTGGTTCTGGTCCGGGTAGTGCCCTGAGTGAATTCCGTTGCTCTGGTACTTGGTACTTGGTGCAACGGGCTGATATCCGCAACTCGACGACAAAGCGCCTATTTTGCGTGTGGTGGGTGCAGGGTCCTACTCGTGCCACCCAAGCTCCTCCAGGAATCTCAGCAGCCTCCTTGGTTTGCTGAAGACTTCGGGGAGCGACCTTGGCACTCCAAGGTATTTTGCCCTGTAGTTGGCCACGCCGGAGCACTGAAGTAGGATGTGCGCAGCCGTTTCCTCCCCCTCCATGCACGCTCTGCATAGAGGGCTGTCTGTGATACCTAAATTAAAAAGGTGTTTATTGTATGGACCATGACCCGTTAGGGCGGCAGTTAGAGTGCGAAGCTCTTGCCTTTTAAGTTTAATTAGTATTCGAGATAGACTGGCATTGAGCGTTGGGAGTGCTTCCCTCGCCTGTCTACAAACCGTAAAGGTGGTCCATGTATTATTATGTGAAGATTTTATACCTTTGTGTATAGTTGTTCTGGACCATTGGCAGGGGAGGGACACTATCGGTTCTGGTCCTACAGAGTCCGTCTCCGACCCTTTCCTGGCTAGTTCATCTGCTGCGTCATTGCCACGTGAGCCGCTGTGTCCTTTAATCCACTGAAGAGTTACGTGGTTTTGTATACATACCTCCACGAGTGCTTGATGGCATTCAAAATGAGCCCTGAGTTTATGTCATAGCTATTCAGTGCTTGAAGTACTGACATACTGTTGCTCTGGTAATTATTCCCTTGTTTCAAACCAGTCAGAGGTGGTTATAGTTGGCTAACTGAGATTTTCACTCTAAGGCGACGACCGACACATTGTACTTTTATCAAAATTATACCTCTGCTAACAAATATGTATGCAATTCCATGTCAATATAAAGGAGTCAACCTTTTCCTGCCGAAATAAAAAGACAATCAGGCGGCAGGTGATTATGTCACGATAACACATTGTATCACCTCATAAACAAGGCCTTTTGCAGCATACATATAGCCATTGTCAACGTGGTGTTGCCAATTAATAAATGTATCATGTATTTATTCAGTATTTTATTTTTCACTTAGTTAATTGTTGTTGCTAGTAAAATTAAGAAATTATCTTGATAGGAATTTTGTATTATGAGGATTCCTAACGTTGACATAACGCTACATGCACAGTGCACAAGCAACACCTAATACTATATCAGTTAGGTTGTAATATTAAAGGTACCTACAGATATGCTCGATTTTTTGATGGTCGACACATATGCATAGACAAAATCATGACAAAATTAAGTAATTGTGTATATAACAGACCATCGACAACGTATTTTTTGACGATCGATACTGTGGAATTTAAATTAGGCGTATATGCAAATACAAATTTGTTCGATTTTAACCTTGATATTTATCGATTGCTAACAGGTGATCACGGTCAAGAATCGAGCAAATCTGTAGACATCTTAACCCGTTCAGTAACGGCGTTTATCGTGCTTTCCGTGGAATTGCCGCTTACTGCTTTTCCATAGAGAAGTATCAACGTGTTCAAAAAATTTAGTGATTTACATACATTGAACATTTCATATTGAATCAATATAAACATTACGGCACAAAGAAAAGTAATTACATTTTTGTGTGCGGTACTATTTATAATAAGTACAGTCCATTAAATGGTTGAACCGGGTATTCACTAGGCCACAATTTGTTGAGCACAATAATGTAGGGGTCGGGTTAACAACATATCCATCAGGTAATGTGGCACGACAATTCGCAATGTTACCAGATGAGGCGCATTACGTGTTGCTCAATAAAATTTACGCATTTCGCACCTTCAGAATAAAAATTGTAATTAAAAAAATTAAGAAAATAAAGTTTATAAAAGTTAATACCTAATGCAGAACGACTTTAAAAATAATTGTTTATAAGGTTGTTATTTTCTAGGACTAATAAGGCCACTGCCTTTACTATTACAAGAGTAATAAAATAACGTGAAAATGTCACAACTTCAAAACTTTTTTTGCGTACCCCCAAAAAGTTGAAATTTTGTGTTGTGTCATTTAATTGTAAAGGTGCGGCTTAATGCGTTATACTACGTTATAATTTAGATACCTTGTAAAAATTATCAAAGCCAAGTTTGAGTTATCCAACTTAGTTTAAATAGAGTTTTTAATGACCTTTAAAAATGTACAATAACATTCTTGAATAACAAATTTATTAAAAAAATACAGAACTAAAAAGTATTTAAGTGTGTAGGTACTTATCTAGAATTTCTTAATAGACTTATATTATGCTTTGAGTGTATGCGCTAATGCCCTTGAATTCATAAATATATAATGCCCTTTTTATCTAGAAAAAAAGCCATTCGTGCACGTGCTGTCACGTGTCATCTAATGTAGCTATATAGTTGAGAAATTAATGTCTATTTTGCCTTTCACTCATATCATGTATATTTTTAAATTTAATTTTCTTTAATCGATTTTATTATAGGAAATATTGAAATTATAAAATACTTTTCAATGCTAATTATTTTGGGACTATTCCCAAATGTTGTATGGTCAAAAATTTATATACAATTAGACAAACATTTATGGATACGTTCAGGCGACTGTACAAAATATATATTTACATTCAGCATCTGCAAACCAAAAAACAACATCCAAAAGTGCCATATCCCATGTATCCAATTGTATTATAAGAAATAATCAGTATGTTTATATAAAATATACATGTAATTAGAATAAAAAAAGTCCGATTATATTTTAGTTAATTCGTCGTTATACATATAAATTTTGTCGTGTTTTCTTCTATAGGAAAACGCTAAAAAAACATATTACGTGGAATAATCTGTAACAAAGTAACATGGTATTTATAAGAAATATTCGTTGTTGAAATTTCAATTACATTTTTTTATAGTCGATTTTTTGTGAAATCATAATTAAATTATATCGTTTTTCGCGGCGATATTTGAGGCACACAATTATGGCAATATAAAATACTCGCATATTTATCGTAAATATGATACATTACTCACAAGAACTAAATACAGGGACAAACAAAAGACAGGGTGAAAGAGGCGGCCTTATACTGGATGGCAACCTCTACAATGCAACCCTGGGATGATAGAATAAAGTTAAAAATGATTACAAGCAGTGGTGCAGTAAAATCAATAAATACAAACCTAAAGCTAACATTACACATCCAGAAATAAAATACTTATTAAATACCATATCTGTAATAATAATGTCCAGTCTTCAATAAAAACTAAAACAACAATTAAAAACCAACAAAACTTACTGTACTTACATCGCTAACTGCCTCCGTGGTCGAACGGTTACCATACCGGACCGCCACGCAGAGGTCACAGGTTCGATTGCCGGGCCGGGAGAAATATTTGTATGGCCTACATTTAATTTTCTCGTGACTTTGGGTGTAATTCGTGGTTATCTATGTGTGTGTCCATGGCACACATAGGGTTTCCCTAACGCGGGGTTGTGTTGGGTGCGTGCGTTATTATAATTCAATTAATAATTCAATATTCACCAGATAATCACACTAATTAGTTCCATATCTCGAACTACACTGATTCCTGGTACTGTGAGTACCAAAGCAAAGAAATTCACTCCAAATCAGAGCAAATACAGAACATTCGAAAGAAAATAGATAATAAAAAAATAGGGGTACAGTGTACACGTAAATACATATATTTTATTATTATTATTATTATTATTAAAATCGAAACTGTAAAATCAGTCTTATCCTTCGTCGATTAAAATAAATAATAATAATGGTTCACACTTTGAAGTTCGAAATACATATTTATTATTGGTTTTTGTAATAATACTTAGTACAAAACTCCACTTATTATTGTGATACGTTTGTTTATAATATTGTTTTTATGTAAAAATCTCTTATGTTTACGTGATATACGATGTAATAAAAGAACGCATACATAAGGGACTCCGTTACTTTTTAAGTGATATTAACCCGCCGGTTAGCCGCGTAAGGAAGAAGCTTGCAGTACAAACCGAAGTTTAAAGGGCAACACTTTTTAATGTTTAACAGATACGAGTAATTAGTACAAACAGCGAATTAAACGGCAGCACAGCCTTAACGGCAAAATATCAGTGCCACAAGGTTCTTTCGCGTTACGCGGTTAGCTTGCTAGTCATTTGTTTTCATTATTAGTTAACTTGTTAAATATCATCATGTTATTTTTATTTATCTACAGTGGAATACAGATTTGGGTTACCGGGGGAGCGACTATCTTAATTTCTTTGCCACCCATGGTCGGTCTAATTAAATTCCTTGCTACTTACGACAATCTAATTAAATTCTTTGCCTCCTATGGACGGTCTAGTTAAATTCTTTGCCACTTATCGATAATCTAATTAAACTTTGTCGGTGACGGAAGGTGTAAGTGTATGAGTTCCATATTAGATACGCTAACTATGGTAATATCTAGTCTCACATTTTTCCAACCTGCCTATTGCAGAAGATCCTGGTAGCTTTATCTGTTTTCATTGTATAAATCGTCGGGATTTTTATTAGCTCCTCTTCCATTTACAATATTTAGGCGTTTTTTCTATGTTGTGCACCTATGGCTATGGCTAATAATTCGTCAAGCTCTAAAGTTCTTAGTAACTTGTTCTTCCCGTCACCTAGTATGATTAAAAAAAACTTATATAACTCCACTACATCAAAAAGTTTCGGTGATGTAGTTGAACTAAATCTATAATTTATATTCTAATGAAAATCATGACTTAAAGAATTCATAGTTAAATAATTTTGAAAATGATTCGGAATAATCTGAGATCACCTCAAAAGGTGTCTTTTACGATATTATTGTACTAATTATGTTGTAATTTCAAATCTATATTTGATAACAAACTTAATTGATTATTGCATTTGATTAAACTTATTTAAGGTGCAAAACTTAAGTTGGAATTAATGTATTTTTTCAAATTGTACCGTAAAAAAAAATGCAAAATTTTCAGTAGTGTTAAATTAATGTAATCGCCATAGAATTAGTAATATTGTACAGTTCATGTGAGTGCCCTGCGTGAACCTAGACTGCCAAGGGCTCGGCAAATCAATTTGAAGCGGTCTTAGCTTTGAATTGTTGTATTAGCCAGCCTAATACGAGGCAGCCCGCGCTCTTCACACAGCGGACTCCCTAAGTCTTAGCGTTAATTACTTATTGATGTGTAAATATAATGTTAAACTTATATCAGCAACAAAAAAGCACGCTTTTTCTGCACTCATTACGAGCGGTGTAATTAATTTTCCTAAACACAATATACATAAAATGTAGTTTTGTAGCTTTTTTGTTTGCTGCAGCTGCACAATTGTTTTAAAATTTTACTTGAACGTCGTAGTTTTTTCATTTTTAAGTACATAGCGACATTTTCTTTTCATTTGGAAATATTCTTATATCTAAATGTCAATAAAGTGTGGGAAAACTTACTTTTTTCATGCTCGGAAAGGAATTCTCATAGCAAGTTGCTGGATAGAAACATCACGTAAAAAATCGTGAAATAAAAAATGTCACTATGTATAAAAAATAAAGACGGCTATGTTTATACCTACTAAATAATAACAAAAAGAAGCTAGTGATATAAATATTATTGTGATAATAAAGGCCATTTATAAGTATTCTATTAGCGATATGAAGCAGTCGCTGAACGACGGCTCATTTTCATTATTATTTTCGAAAATGTTTAAGTCAATAAAAATATTTAGTTAGTTACATTTATTGTCTTTTATTTCAAAGGCCTTCAAATTTAATTTTTATATTACACACGTATCCAGAAGTAGAATCCATATACCTACGGATCAATTCAGTAGGCTCAATTTACGTCGTCAATTAAGCCTCAATTTCGCCTGGTTGCGCGTAAAAGGCGAGGCGCAATGTTTCGAGAAAGCCCTAGCATTCGCGAGAATCCTTGTGTTGCCTTGAGGCAACAGTAGGTGTTCAGTTGTTCAGTCTAGACAAGGATGACGGACTAGGATATTGTTGTTATTTTCCATATTTGTGAAGCAAAAAAATAAAAGGAAGAACAGAAACAAGAAATTTTTGAATTCATGACTTGTAGAAGAAACAAACATTTTGGAGACAACGTAACACATTTTGCAAAGATTCAGATCAGAAGTCTCCACCTATTTTTTAAAATTTCTATAAAATGGACTATTATAAATTTCAAAGTTGACAATACGTCCACATATTTCAAAATACGTCCATTATTTCGTTGACGCTCAATGTCGAATTCAAGGCGGCCGCCTTTGCGCCGCTTCCCGTGAATGAGAATGCGCGAGAATCCTCCGGAAGACGCGCGTCCTGTTTTTGGCTCATATCTAGTTTGTACGTTGCACAATGACAATAGTAATTTGTTATGCAAATCTGCAAACTTGTTGTTTGACGCGAGTACTTGTGTAAAACTTGAGCATGCGAAGTTCACTCGTGGTTCAAAAATAGAATCCTGAACGTAGCGAGGGTTTCAAGGGGCGAGACGCATAACAACTTTCCTGCCGAGCGAACAGACAACTTCACCGCACTATAGCGAGGAAAATGGTAGATGAAAGAAAAACAGTTGAACTATAACAAATCAGTTTTAATAAACAAAATTAGTTATCGTTGTGAATTTAATGTCAACAATAATAAGAATAAAATATACCAACGGATTTATTTTACATAAATAATATATTGCGTAGTAGTATGTAGTAATATGCACGTGTCATGTTTTTTTTTTTCATCGAAAGAAAAAGTTCGGTGCACCACAGTCCATTGTCAAGCGAAATTTAAACACCTGTTTTGTGCTAGCGTGGAAAAAACACTTTTGCACGCATATTTCTGAGATGAGAAAGAAAGCCTTTCCGAGCTAGAGAGATGAAAAAATTTGACATGTTAAAAATAGGAAGTTGATAGTGGTGCCTTTAGTAATTGGCCTGATTATCTGGCAAATAATATTATTTTATTTTTACAGAGAAGCAGACCAAATACAATTAATTACCTGGGGTATTTATTATATGACGCAAAAATATTGCACATGATGCTGTAATAAAAAAAAATTGCGCAGTATTCTCTATGCACACATAATATATTTAACTGCCTCCGTGGCCGAACGGTTACCATGCCGGACTGCCACGCAGAGGTCCCAGGTTCGATTCCCGGGCCGGGAGAAATGTTTGTATGCCTTACATTCATTTCTCTCGTGAGTTTGGGTGTAATTTGTGGTTGTCTATGTGTGTGTCCATGGCACCCGCGACACAGGGTTTCCCTAGTGCGGGGCTATGTAGAGTGTGTGTGTTATATATTTATTTATTTATTTATTTATTTATATATCCACTGTAATTGACAGTACCAGAGTAATGAAATCAATTCTGACGAAACTAATTGCGCAGTCATTCTCTATGCACATATAATGTAGATCCACTGGAATTGACAGTACCAGAGTAATGAAATCAATTCTGACGAAACTCCTCAATACTCCTGAACAAAATAATTTTTTAATTAAATTTTTTCCAAAAGTAGTTTAGTATGCAATGAAACAAAAACATTTTTGATTTGCATTTATTTCTCAATATAACAAGAAGATATGGCTATGATACAATGAGAGTACATTATAATACAATTCTTTTAAATTTATAAAGACCTTAATTTTTAAAACTAGTAACGTATAGCACAATTCTCGTGTATGAAAGAAAAATCTTGAAAGTTTTGTTCTATAGACAATACGTCTCAGTTTAAAAATATCTACATAGCTATATTACGAGTTTAGTATGGCTCTGAAATTCTTTTAAATTTAGCAATTTGCACCTTTCAATCCTACTCGATACGATACTGAATTTGTTGGATAATTGTCTGAATGTTCACATTAATCCTGATAATATATATGATAAGAAACTTTGAACAGCTCGACATCCTACATCAGATGCAAAAAATTCATCTCATAAAACTTTAGTACTATGTTATTGTTATTATTTTTTTAGATTACTTTCTATGTTTATTCTGTGGTCTGTGGTTTATTCTCTCTAGTGTTGGGTCATGGAAAAAATCCCATTTTGAAAAAACATGTTTTTCAGAAAATTAAATATTTCTCCGGATATTTTTCCAATATTTTTCCTTTAAAGTTTCATGATTTCTAGTTGCGTAGTAGAAAAAATACTCTTGATTGGCAACTATTTGGGATGAAAGAGTAAAAATCCTCATTCGCAACTGGTTGCGAAAGCGTCCGCAGGGAAATTTCCACATTTGACGTTGACACCGACCTGTCAAAACTTGAAGTTACTGAACAAAAACCATGGAGCCAATAAAGTTTTTTTCGCCGTTGTGAAATAATTTTAAATCTCGTTTTTCTTCAGGTGGCTTTTAGCTATACAAGATATTTCTAAACGTAGAAAATAATATGAGCCTTCGAAATTATATTTTTCCAATTTTCCACTATTTGAAATTTTACGGAAAATTACCCAACAGTAATTCTCTCTATTATTTTGACTTAAGGACTTGAATCCATAGTTATTATCTTATGGCACCGTGTCAAAATAACGTGTAAAGCGATTCAGACACAGGTAATATTATTCCTATGATGACGTACACGAAAGTGTACACTATGATGAAAATATCGTATTCAAATTTAGCGCTGTGTATTCTATACGATGTATCTAAAAACATTTTAACTAATATTATAAATGCGAAATTAACTAAACCGCTAAATCAAAAGTGATTAATTTTTACACATAGGTAGATGAGAGAGACATTTCCTTAGAGAATGAATTTAGGCTACTTTCTGTCACAAAAATAAATCCTGGTTGCGATATTCATAGAAAACTGAGAGCATACTTGCTTGGGATTGAAGCATTGAATTGTATTTAGACATTTTGAGTTTAGCGCTTTGCCCGTTGCAGCTTGCTGGGTTTTAGTAGGAGGATAATCATGAAAACATCAACTAAATGAATTATTATTGCTGTGATCACTAAACCATAGACTTATAAATTCTAGTCAATGGTACAAATATAAATAGGCGAAGTCAGTATACCTATAGGGAACGCTTCGGATCGAAAGGTGTAGAAAACTCTGTAGGAAAAGCCAACTAGCTTTAAGTTTATACAGCATTAAATTCAAACTGGGCAATTACTTGGCTAATGACATTATCAATTCCTTAAGTTTTAAGTTTTAGATTTCAAAGACATTTTCATAAATTTGTACAGCTTGATATAATAAAATTTATTTTAATAACTACAAGGAATGAACACTTTTAAAAATTACTACATGATTAAAGTAGTGAAGCCACTACATGGTCTTGTACATTAATAAAGAAGTTTAACAATATAAATATCATGCGAGTGTTGTGGGTAGCGACTAACGTGATAAGTAGATACGATCGTCAAAACCCTTTTCCCTAGACTCTGGCCAATTCCCCTTTCTCCAGGGAGTAGGGTCTATTATTTAATAAATGCATAAAATTATCATCATTAACAATATATTTTATACAAATACTCCCAAAATAAAAGAGATTCGGAGCGAAATAAAATGTTACTCATCAAAAGAAATGTCTTTCAACAATTTCTTTGCACTAATATCTAAAGACTTCCCGGCACGGTATAGTTACTATAATAAAAAATATATAACAATACCATAAATCTGGTGTCCCTAGGAAATTTCCTGTAATTTACTTTTTTATTTAACTTTTTGGGAACTCCTCGTGAAGCATCCAGAATGTTGGCCGCTAAACCATTAAAGTCGCGTATCATTTACTGCCGGATTAAAAAAAAAAATTATATTTACTAAGCTAGATAATCGTTTCGTAGCAGTAGAACTCCTAGTGAAAGAGTTTATCCAGGGAAGTACTGCCACCTTATCTATTTCTATCGCCAAGCAGTAACGTGAGCATTACTTCGATTGTGAAGGGTAAGGCTATTGGTGAAATTACAGGCACATGGGACTTGTCAACTTATGTCTCAGGGTGTCGGACGCAGTGGCAGTGCCCCTCATATCTTTGTGATTTAAAGCTCAGAGTGGCATTGCAACTGTTAGGGCCTTGTTCGTCCCGTCACTTAGTATTACATAAAAAATTAAATCTAGAGTTTCTTAAATTATGTGTAATTTGCTCTGGCAAGTCAAAGCCTGGACTGTGGACAAATGTAAGCTTCTATTTAAAATAGCCTTATTGTATACAGATCTATCATGGAATCTAAATACACCTTCAGATATTTATAGTCTGCCTTTTTTGAAGATGGAGTAAAATGTCAGTTAATTGCGCAAAAGTGTTGCCCGTTTGCAAGAAGCTACTGATTGCAGTCGATCAATATTCTATCGGCTATAGACTGAATGTTGATTAGGCTTATGCAATAAGTAGAGAACTAGTTTTATTTGAATCATCATCCGCCCATTAACCGTCCAACTGCTGGGCACAGGTTCATTTGGATCGTCAATTTTTGTAAATTACTACATAACTACTAGAAGTGTTTATTAAAAATACAAAGACATTTTTTAAAGTTTTTAATTTAAATTCAATATAGATAATCAAATTCCCCTGTGCTTATTAAACTGTACATAAACAAAATTTGATTTCGATACTGATATGCCAACGTCTAAATAGAAATAAAGAAGACAATAACGCAATTAGTAATAATTAGAACGTCGCGTCGTAACATTCACAATTCAAATATTTTGGCAAAATTTTATCGTCTTTCACAATTTATCGATAAAACTGTCGACAATAACTACATGACTATTTAATTTTTTTTGAAAATTGGCAACCTTGCAAACTCATTTTATTACTTGTTCAAAATATCTTATTATATTGAGGGATCATTTGCTTTAATTAGTTTTAATTTGAAACACTTGACAGAGTGTTTAAAATTGCTACAAATATAATAATATATAAACGTTGAGAGATATAGAAGTAACTCACCGTGCCAGATGTAAATAAAAAGGTTCAACATGTATCCTACCATATATACAAGAGTATACAGTATTCACATGACGTACACCTTCTCGACGCGTTTCATACAGAATGTCTCCTTCGTTTTCGGGCAAATTATGGTTCCATGCTCCTTTACCATTTCTCTCAGAGCCTGTAATCGTAAAAGATGATGTTGGAACTGCAAATTCAACGTTGAAGAACATTGCATACTTCTACATTTCAGTATATCCCCCAAACATTTCAAGTCATAATTTGCTAGCTAACATTTTAAGTTTCTACCTGAACATTTCAGGTTTTTACTAAGACAATTAAGGTTTTTATCCAAAATATTTGAGATTTTTACTAAAACAATTTAAATAATAAGCAGAATATATATTATAATCTAAACAAATTACTACTTTATATATATGTTACCGTTTAGCTATCTAACGCGTTCGACAGGTAGTGCTCTTTTAATTTGTGCTTGAATGCCAGCAGGCAGTTTATTCCATATACGAGTTGCACTTACTGTGAATGAGTTGTGGAAGAATTTCGAGTTGGAATGGGGATATAATAGTGATTTAGTATCACAGGTACTTTTTGGGCGGGAACTGGGGGATAAGGGAGAAAAACGGGAACTCAGATAATAAGGAAGCTGGGGGTAATGTAGAATTTTGTAAAAGTGACAAAGAACGCGCATATCTCGGCGAAGTCGGATTGGTAGCCATTTCTACTTAGTCCGAAATTGAGACATGGTCATATTTACGTAAACCGAATATGAAACGGATTGCCAGATTTTGTTGGCGCTCCAGTTTGTTAAGCAGCTCCTCTGTAGCACCCAAATAATAAATATCGGCATAGTCGAGAAGAGGGAGTAGTAAAGACTGTGTAAGCATAACCTTTTATTCAATATTTACTAAAATTTTCACGTTTCTAACCATACATTTGAGACATATTTGCTAATATTTCATGTTTCTATCCAATTTAAGTTTTTAATAAAACAAGCCAGATCTTTACCCAAGAACTTCGGTTTCTACAAATATACACAGTGTAATCGTTTAGGATACCAGGCGTTTATTCCGAAAATAAAAGAGATACATTTAATATGACATTCGTAAAGTTTTGGTTTCGAACAACTGCTTTGAATACAAAGTTTTGTACTTATTTAAAAATAAACATCACCTTATTTTTTATTCAATTAAAATATATTTTGTTACTTTGTTTATAGCGGTTTCGTTATCTGTAGATTTAATGTAATCTTTTAAAGTAGGTCAATTAAAGCCTCTCTACGACAGTCGAATTAAATGTATGGTAGAGTTTATCATTAAAATTTTGGATATTCCTAGTTTTATTTTAAAAAAGCTATTGATGTCAATTTCCTCATTAGCTAACGTACTTTCGTAATCAGTTTAAAAGTTTGTACGTAGGTGTACTACGTAAGTTTGATTGGTATGTTAGAAAATGTTCTCTAGTTAATTATGACGTAATCAGAAGGAAGGTGAACAAAGTGAAAACGCAAAGGTTCGGTTCACGAAAGTTTCGCTTCTATTAAATTCACCGGTTACAGTACGTACTATATTTAACACATAAAACTAAAGTGCGCGAGTTAGTGTAAGGAAGAGCGGGGAGCGACTGACGATAGCCTGCTCGGAACTACAGAATGTGCTTACATGACAAAACTCCGTACAGGTTTTTGATATCTCTTATATACGGAATAATCGCCTGGGCACATTTAACGATTACACCATGTATAAATAATGCCTATTCACTGTCGACTTGAAAAACCCATGTTATAGTATTCAGACAATAAGTCTACAGGCGGGGAATTCAACTGCATAGACGTTCGCCATTTAAATAAAAATAAATTAAAAAATTGTTAGCCTGTATATAGGCCCAGTGATGGGCAAAGGCCTGTCTCAATGAGAGGGCTTGGGTTGTAGTTGCCACGGAACACATTATGCAATTGCTTTGCAGTGCAGGTTTCTTCACTATGTTTTACTTCACCGCAAATCTTCGTAAATTTCAAATTAAATTTCGCACATAAAAATCGAAAAAACTCAGAGGTGCACGCCCGGATTCGAATCCACGATCTTGCTTGAGAGGCGGACGTCAAACCATTAGTCTACCACAACATTTTAAATAATTTCTAAAACATGTTATGGTTCTCCCCTAACGTTTGGCGTGTCTTCATAATTTTGTTAAGTTAGCAAGTAGAATAGTTGTTACCTTCTCGCCATAAACTTGTCCGTTGGGCAACACCATCGGCTGGTTATGTTCGTCCAATGGGCGGCGCGAGATGCGACAGACGAGTCGCGAGTGGCTGCAATGCGCGTGCGGCAGGGTTTTGGCCAGGGAGTTGAGTGGGGGGGCGCAGGCCGGGCAGGCCGACACCTTTGTGCTTTCATTGTAGCACTGAGTGCGGGGACGTTAAAGAAATTGTTATTCTTATGAAGTGGCCGGAGTTTCCGACTGTTAAGCCACGATTATATCACGATGTATTACTATCATGATATTAAATTTTTTCTGTGAAATTACTCCACTACTTTGTTATTATCAATACCAACTTTGAACACTAAGAAAAATTCCTTCGATCCGGCTGGAATTGAACAAGCGCCTCCGGGCACGGTATGCCGAAGGCGCTGGTTCAGGGTCGAAGGATTTTTTCTTAATATACTTAGTATCTTTGTATTATACTAATAATTATTAACCGACACCAAAAAAGGAGTAAGTACTTTCCTAACCTTATGTTTTAGAGTTTCGCTTTATTTCCTTTATGAATTTTTATTCAATTTTATATTTGTTAATAAACATATTATATATATTTTGTAGCAGTGGTAACTTCACAGAACACTCACAACTTCAAATAAAATAATGTTGCGTAGAGTGGATATTACCTCAGCTCGAATTAAAATTTTTCCCATACAAATACGTTTCATTTTGCTTGGGTCGCGCTGGACCACAGGGACACTGGCTTTATTTCAGAATTTATTTTTTATAAACGAAATTAAAGCCATTTGAAAAATGTGTATCGTATACTACACGTGTTCTATTTAGTTCAGTTGATATTTAAAAAAAAAAATCATTGGAATATGTAAAGTACCTATTGAATACAGAGGTTTTCTTGTAAAATGCCAAAGTAAGTTTGTGTTTTATTTTATATCATGATAATTTTTAGGAATCGGTTTTTTCACACTGTACACTAATCAGTCAGTGTATATCCCCAATTTTACTACATGTTTTATCCAAAGTGATTTGATTCAACACTTTCACTGTTAAGCGGAATCAACCGAAGCCACTTGAGGTTATATCGATTCTTAAATCAACTTTCTCTAGTTCAAATTATACTATAAATCCATCGTAAATACAAATGTAACCCTGTATCTGCAATTGGCGGTCGTCAACTTTTTTGTGGCTGGTTCAGGACTGTATGGAAGTTGAGCATTGTTCTTTGGAAAGGAAAAAAAATACTTTACGTTGTTCGGAAAAATATTACAAGGTATTCCAGCTAACCTGTTACCCCCTTAAATATACTTTTATTATATAACGAAGTAGCATTTTTTTCTATGTAATGAATAAATCAGTTTACAAACAAATAAAACAATATCACACGTAAAATATAAGTATGCACAAATGTAATATTGCAAAGGATATGGTGTGTTGAGAGCCTGCAGGCCGAGTTGCAGCGCGGCAGGCAGCGCAGGCATACGGGCGGGGTGCAGCAGCCGCGCCGCTTCCCAGCGGAACTGCTCCACCAGGGCCGTCCATCGGGCCGAGTCCAGGAGGGACTTGTACGGCTCCACGTCTAGATGCACAGAACAATAAATACAGTATAAGTGCTTGAACGTGCACGTGTGCCCAAAGTACGCGGAGTTCCGTATACTTGAGCTCAGTCCACCATTTTCGCTTTGCACGTTAAGGTCGTGTCAATTGTTTCGTGCAAACCCTCGAAAATCATGACAAGATGCCTTACTTTGCTGCTTTGGAATGCAAAAATGATGGTAGTAGTAGAGCTGTTATCGTTAAGTTTTAAATTATTTCATTTTAACAAATTTTCCATTTTCTGTTTATCCATGTGAATATTAGTATTTTTGTACTTGATTGAAAATTTGATGAATGATTAAAAGTCATGGAACAAAAGTTGTTGTTTATGATGGTAGTACAGTTTTGCGAATATATTCTTGCCAGGTTAATATTTTACAAATAACTCTATAGATTATTACTATTATCAATACATTTATAATTTAGTAAAAAAAGGTGCAAAGTTATAAAGTGGCGACGCGAAAATTAAACAAAGGATACAAGTTAAATGGCTGAGTGTCTGTTTCGTTTAATCAGCCTAAACAATGGAAGGAATTTGTATTAAAATGGTTAATAATGGTGTTTATTGAGTAAGATACATCTTCGGCACGTACATAGAGAAATTTACAGTATTGTCATATACATTTTTATACCATTACAGACGTATACAGCAATTACGCAAGATACCATTAAAAACTTTAACTAAAAAAAATAATTATGTATACCAAAAAAAGAAAACCAAAACTCCTAAAACATTATCAAACAAAACCTCTAAAACTCCACCTTTAAAGCAGTTGTGATACTTGAACTTATATATAATGAGTCGTCAAAGATGTTAACTTCGTCTGTATTAACATTATTGAAAGTTTTCAATTAAGCATTTTTGAAGAAAGTAAAATAAATGGTTACCAGTGTCCTTTGGGAAGGCAAGCATGCCCATGCAGTGCTGTATATCCTGCAATTGGCCATCCTCGTACGTGGAGAAATGTTTCTTAGCGTAGCGGACTGCCTCTAGGCGTCTGTCTTCGCGAACCAGCTCTATGAATTCCTGTAAAGATGGTCATTGGTCAGTTCGGTTATACTTACTGCTACAACCAAACCAATTTAACTCTTTCAAGGATAGTACTCCGAACGGCACTGCAATTGCTAGCACTAGGGGCACGATTTGTTCGTACCGTCAACTAGTATAACAAAAAAAATTTTGCAACAATATTAGACATACTTGTTGATGACTTTACTATCTCAGTCAGCCGTGACCACGGGACCTGTAAAAGGCCCGAAACGTTGGTTAGTTTGAAAAACAAATACGCGGTAGACCGATCCGTAAATAAAGACGATAACCTTTTTATATAAAAAAAAGACTTCAAAAGTTCGTGGAATTACATCCATTTGCTAAGTTTTATTGAAATCGGTTACCGGAAAGTGTGCGAAACCGGTATCATCCCCTAGTTTGCCACCCTTACAGATGGAATATTTTCTTCAAATTTAAATGGGACCAATACTAGATACCTTCTTTCCAACAAAAAAAGAATCATGAAAATCGGTTCACAAATCCGTTTTTGACGTCGGTAAAAAAATCAGTTTCACTTCCTATGTGTAACAATCGCGAAAACTTAAGAACTCGATATCAATATAAAATGTTTAATTTGTGTAAACATTGACCTACCAATTAGGTCAATGTATGTAAATCACTGAATTTTGTCAGTACGTAAGTAGTTGATACTTCTCTATGGAAAAGCGGTAGGCTGTAACTATACAGAAGGCACTTCGAAATTGACCTGTAAAGCCCGTACTTGATTTTTTGAGATCCATACAGCGAAACGAGGTTACCCCGTACTGTCATATTCTAATATTTAATTTTACGGGAAATCCTGTTACTGTCCATGAAAGGGTCAAAAGGTCTCCTGTGGTATTAAAGTATGCCACTTTAATAAAAAGTGTCAAATTTGAAAAAGTAGCGTGCACTTTTAAATATTTAATAAGTATGTTATTGTTATATACCTAAGTTGATGTAAAGGTGACCCCCTTCAGTTTTCAATAACACCTCTTAAAGGAATGAAAGAATGAAAATACATTCATTTAAATACCACAAATGATACTACGCAAGAAAAACAAGAGGAATGAGACAAAAACTCAACATTATAAACATAATGAAAGCATTCAAACACAACTAAATAATTACAAAAGAAAAATAAAATAAAATTAAAGCACAGATTATTATTCACAATTTTTATTTTATTGCATATCATAATTTTTTTACTAACATGATATTCATATATTTTTGTGAAAATACTCCACTAGTTTGTTTGCTGGATCGAAGGAATTTTTCTTTGTTTGTTCGATCGTTACATCAATAACATCAGATTATTTATATAAACATAAACAATGACATTAAGTATAAAGATACTTTGTGTGCCAGCTGCGATAAGAAAAGGATGAATTAGTACTCAGCATGTGCTACAAAACGCAATGCGTTCCCAGCACTTTTCAGTTAGGACATTGAGGGTCGTATTCTAGAACTGTACTCAATGCTCAAGTCAGGACTTGAGTATGATTCAAAGCACTAGAAATCATACTCAAGTCCTTGCCATTAGGGTTGTATTTCCAGTGCTTGAAATCATACTCAAGTCTGCTCAAATCCTGTCTTGAGCATTGAGTACAGTTCTGGAATACGACCCTAAGTGAAGCTACGAACCATTACCACACACAGGCTTACTTACCTAAAAAATGGAACAAAGATGTTTAAAAACGCAAAAAAACCAAGCACAAATGATAGCATAGTAGCCTATAGTGATAAAAAAATACCTGTATGCGAATCTTGAACTCCATAGTGGAATTGAGCTTACGCAACTTGGACCTGTTGTCAGCGCACCATTGTAGGCATCGCGCGGTGCGACGCCCGAGCAGCTCAGCCTCCACTTCCGCCGCCGGCATGTAGATATCTAAAGACGGAAGCTCAAGCTGTATTATTGAGATTTTTTTGTGAAATAAGTCCCCTAGTTTTTATTATAATTATTAATACAAAGATCGAACACAGAAAACCTTTTTCGACCCGTAGGGACTAGGACTGCTGCGGTGAAGGTTCTAAAATCTCTCACTAGATGTCACTAGCGGTTCAAAACGCCGTACGAAAATCCAGTACGAAAATCTTTAACAAAAACACACAGAAGAATTTCAACAACTCGATAACCTGATCCGTAGCTCAGTTGGTAAGAGCAATATTACGGTGCAGTATGGTCGTGGGTTCAAGTCCCATCGGGTCGAAAAAGTTTTCTGTGTTCGATCTTTGTATTAATAATCCTAATAAGAACAAAAGCTGGTTCGAGCCCAGTCAGTTCGAAGGAATAACAAGAAGAAAAATCAGTACAGAGTACTAAAAAAAACCGACCTCAAAAGTCATCCATCACCTAGTTTGTCACCCTTAGAGGTGGAATAGTTACTTCAATTTTAAATGGGACCGCTTCTGAGGTACCGCCTTTCCAACAAAAAAAGAATCATTAAAATCAGTTCACAAATGAGCCGGAGTTATTGCGTAACATACATAACAAAAACAGTCAAAATTAGAATCTCCTCCTTTTTTTAAGTCGGTTAAAAAAAGGTACGTAAAGTTCGTTGTCGTGCCCGTCGTCACTCTTAATAACTTACCGACATTGGTGAGATCCCTCAACCCGTGCGCATCGGCCAGCTTGTTAGCGGAGTTGTAGTAACCGTTGCGTAGGAAGTACTCCACCAGCATGCGATCCAAGCGGACTTTGCGCCACTGGTTCATTGTTGTCTGAGAGTGTAACAATTAACGTTTTTCATATCGTTTAATGTTATCCAAGAAATAAAGAACTATGGCAAAATCCCATATAAATTTTTGTTGACATAATTTGTATGCATCTGTTTATGAAAAATATGTAAAAATATAGAGTTTAAATTCCTGAACACAATTGGTTTCAGGTTTACTATTCTGAGAAGTCTGGAATTAAAGATATTCCAGTTTGACGTTTTGGAAGTTATGTTTTACATAATTGAATAAAATATATTCGACGTATTATTATATCTAAATAAACTACAGAAGCTTTAAACAGAGTTAATAGAAGATGAATGGGTGTCGTGAGTTTATGACGTGATGAAAGTTCCGATTTTTTTTTATAGTGGTATTGTCAAAAGGCATGAAGTTAAGGCATAAAAGAAAACTGAGTTATACTATAAGTCTGTGGTTAATGCATTCCAAGGAGTGGCAACTCGGACACAAATATTTTTTTGTAAAACGTGCTATCCATGATGTTGGGAACTTTTTTGTCAGTTTTACCATTTTATCAATTAGCATATTTGGAGAAGGAATTTTAATCTAATTTTATTTTTTGTAATAAAGTAGTTAATTTCACATTGCAAATCGTACATTTGATATTACATAAACGAACTTAATTTGGACCTACGAGTAACTATACGTAGGTATTGAAAATCTTTTTTGGCGGCTAAATGTTGCCTAATGTTAAGAAACTAAGAAATTGACAGTTCCGTTATATGGTCAGATGTCAGTCCGGTTTTCCTTTATTTTTTTCCATCCTCCAAGGTCCAGTTACATACTAATTAGTAATTTGAGTTTCTTATAACTACGATTTTATTTCTACACTTGGATAGGCCTTTAGTACAAATTGAGAAACCTAATAAATTTATTTCATTCAAACTTGTAATTATGACGTTTAAACACGCTTAAGAATTCTTTTAACAATCATTTCGCCATTGCTCTTTCAACCTATTTGATAGTTGATTTTAAGTACAGTCATCAGTATATCAGCAACCCTTTATGGATTGCTGTAATGACTGTCCCTTAAAGATAGATTTTAAGCCCTAGTCCAGCAAACGCAGAATACGCTTTTCGGAAGCTTACTTCTGAAGAATTTGTGATACTATAACATATAGAATTTATCATGATATTTTTCTTCACAGTACAATCACAGTTTTACAAACCATACAGTTGCGCAATTAATGTACTTGCGCAAAGCTACGACGCGGTGGGGTACTCGCGGGGAAGTGGGCGCTGCGGACCACATCCCACAAACACGCTTATTTTGTGGGATTGACATGTGTGTGATTTAAATAATATATTTTTTATCGAGGGACTAAAACGAGCCAATATATACCCGAAGTGGTAGGCCACCCGAGCTTAACGAAGGTGTCTATTACTCCCAGGGTTTATACTGGCTATTAGTCACGAGGTGAAAACTTTACTTTTCACTTCGATTGAGAGAAATAAAATCAATCGTTTTCGCTCTACAACAAAATTACGAACCAAAATTCTGAAGATTTCGCGGTATTTTTTCCATCCATACACATACAACAAATGCACTAACGCGGGAAAATAACATGGCGCCACCGTCTATGCGGACAAGCGCAGGCTGTTTGAGTTTGTTCACTCGACGTAAATTAAAAAATTAGGTACTTTTTACTCCCTAGGGATTAAAGGACGCACTTTACTCCCCATACGTAAGGCTATATTGACGTACTTTTAGAGCATGAGAAGTGAAAAATATTATTTAATACCTCCAATACGTTCAGCGAGATCGCTGTATGCATGTAATTATAAGGTGCATACAAACTATCCTGTGTACGAAAGTCATTCGACTTCGATGTACAATAGGATTTTGATTTAATACACGGCCATGCTCATTTTTCCCTACTTTTTTTTAAATTAAATTTGTCATCTGAATGAATATAGATCAATTTAACGATAGAAAACTCAAAACATCTAAAAAGAAAGTGTCACGTAAATACACATATCGCAGAGCAACCAGTGTTGGGCAAAATTTAATTGTTCTGGCAATTAAAGATTGACAATTGATTAATTGTCAATTGCGAAACAGCAATTAACGATTGATCAATTGTTAGTTGCGAGAACCGCAATCAACAATTGATTAATTGTTAATTGCGGTTCTCGCAACTAACAATTGATCAATCGTTAATCGCAAATATCTACAATTAACAATTAATCAATTTTCAATCTTTTCAATGTTTTTGATTAACAATTAGCAATTAAAACTGATAATTATGATAAATTTATAAGGCATATGGGGGTGAGTTAGGGCGTTGGTTGTGGGGGACTGTTGGGGGCCTGCTGGGGGCAGGTTAGGGGCCGGTTGGGGGACTGCTGGGGGCAGGTTAGGGGGCCCCGGTTGGGGTCCCCGCTTGTGGGCCCCGGTTGGGGTCCCCGTTTGGAGTCCCCGCTTGGGGGCCCCGTTTGGGGACCCCGCTTGGGGGCCCCGGTTGGGGTCCCCGCTTGGGGGTCCCGGTTGGGGTCCCCGCTTGGGGGACCCGGTTGGGGCCGCCGCTTGGGGTCCCCGCTTGGGGGCCCCGGTTGGGGTCCCCGTTTGGGGAACCCGCTTGGGGGCCGTCTTGCGACGCGTCGCAATTGATTTAATTGCAGTTGATTTCAATTGAATTGATTTTTTAATCTGATTGAATTATTGATTGAAATTTAATTGATTAACGCCCAACACTGAGAGCAACACATGTAAATCTTCATTACTTATCATAGATTGTTAATAAATGATTATATTTTAATAATAATCATTATCATTATTTCCTCCATTTTGTGACAACCCTTTCGTATTTGCGTAACGCAGTAGCGTTTCGGTAACTTTCGAGATACTGGCACCTAAACTATAGCGTAAATGATTTTTAAATCGAAAAAAAAAATCCGGATAAAAAAAATCATTTACGCTAATTTTGCTTAACAATAAAACTGAAACTAAATAAGATTAAAAAAAACTAGATCTTCTAGATCTCGTTTCTCAGATATGTTAATAACTCAGTTTCTCTAAAAATGTCTATTACATTATTTACGACAAGCATAAATATAATGTACTTTGAATGTAACTATCATACTCTGACTTGTGGTGAGTTCGGTTCAGTGAGTGCTTGGGCCTGCTCCTTGAGATGATCGAGACGTTTCTTGCACACCCCCGCCGCTTGGACCTCCTCAGTAATTGCTTCGGATGCTTTACGCTTCATTGTTGTTAGTTTCTCCACCTGTTGACATTATCATTTTCTATATCACAAAGTAGTCAATTAATACAGTTTTAAGTACTTTTAATTGGCTTAAACACTTGAAAGCTTTGATTCACGCCTATAGCACCAAACACTGTAGACAGACCTTAACAAGCAACAACACGGTTTGAACCATTATTATTATTAGGGTGGCTTCATTGGGGGCCTATGCAGCCCCCCAGCGACTATCAACTGATCTATTGGGACCACCACGAATCACGCGCCCGCGCTCGGTTATTGTCGACCATATAAATACATGGAATTAGACCCGCCGCGGTCCCAACCCGACACGGCCCGAAAGCCGAAAAATCCCAATACAAAGATCTATAACAGACGCATAGAATTTTTTGTCGACCTGCTCACTCTACCTGTAGCTCAGTTGGCAGAGCGTTCCTATGGCATAACCTGGTTGCAGATTCAAGCCCTGTCAGGTTGAAGGAATTTTTCTGTATTCGATGTTTATGTTAATAATTAAATGATACATAAGTAGTGAACCTACATCAAAGTAAAGTAAAATGATGAAAAAAATAGAACAAAATTTCTATATTATTAACATTGACCTACATTATTATATTAACGTTACTTTTCATTCGCATGCTCTTAAAGTTCGTATTTATGCTAGGTGTAGGCTGCATAAAATAGGATTTTATTATCTAGTGCATAAAATAAAAAACCATCACAGTAAATATGTATACCTAATTTTTGTAATTTTTATCGAAGTGAAAAGCAGAGTGTGTAACTCGTTCATAAAACCCATTTTACCCTCGACTTAAGTATCCACCGTCGCGTCGCCTGTGGCTCGGATGGATGTACTCGTTTCGGGTAAAATGACGCGTTTTATGCACTTGTTGTACAATCTACTATTGCTTGAAAATAACTGTAATAACAACATGACGTAAGTCCATATTAGAGATGTGTGCCGATCGGAATTGCGGCGTTTGATGGTTTTTCGACAGGCCGCGGCGGGGCAGCGTGATGTCGACGCGGCCGGTGTTTAAAAAACAGTAAACACTATTTAAATCAACCTTTGTATTCAGGTATGTGGGTCCTGTTACTAAAAATAATTAAGAATATTTGTGAAAAAACAATGAAATCAAAATAAACGCTCTTAATTTAAATGTTTATACTACATTTAAATTAAGAGTGTTTATTTTACATAGGGCGCACTCTAAGTTTGCGGAACTGGCAACTTACATAAACAATATTATATTTAAATTAAAAAGAAATTAGAACATTTGAAAATGGAACTCTTTGGCTGTAGAATACAGTTTTGTTTCATCTGACTGTCACTTGTTTTTACATTGTGGCGTCATTTTAGAAATTGGTTCTCTACATCACCATGGATTTAAGTCATGAAAATTTTCATAGTATGATTTTCTACGACTTTAAGTGCTCTTAATTTATTTAAACACAGCTCAGCGGAGCTTCCCTCGGGTACAAACTGCTTTTGGCGATGAAGCACCATGCAAGGCGACTATTTATAACTGATTTGCAGAATTCAAACGCGGTCGTGTGAATCTCAGTGACGAATTTCGTGATGGTCGCCCGTCCACTGCTGTGAATAACAAAAACATCGATGCTGTGCGCCGTATGATCTAAACAGACAGGTATGTAACATACCATGAGATTCGGGCATATTTAGGCATAGGCACGAGTCAAATACAATCAATACTTCACAAACATTTGGGTGTGAAAAAGCTGTGCTCTTGGTGAATCCCACATAATTTGACAGATCGCGTCATTTGGTGCAATGCCATGCTTACCAGATTCAACGAAGGGGCGTCAAATTTGGTGTGGGACATAGTAACAGGTCACGAAACATGGATTTATAGTTACGTTCCCAAAACAAAGCAGCAATCGAGCGTATGGGTCTTTCGAGATGAGCCGAAACCACACCCCTGGACACTCCATACAACGGTCGAAAATTATTTACTACTACTACATACAGCAAGGCGCTATCTGCACACGCGCAAATGTGTCCGGGAAGTGGCAGGGTTACCCATCACTTCATTGTACTATTTATTACGTTACGTGGTCAGAGCGGCAATCTGTTATCTATAATTCTATTATAGAATCCTAATAATTACACATGTTCATTGCGCTTTTATATATCGATATATAATATTATTTTTTCAATAATTCACTAACTAGAATAATATTGAAGATTTATTTTAAAAATATATTAAAAACACTTAAAATGTTATATTTTGGTACCTCTAAAGAAGGTAACCAAAGTATTTGAAATTTCGTGTTCAAGTTTACCATTACCTAGTTAATAATTAGGTATATTCACTACGTAATATTTTATCGGCAATACAAATTGAAAATTCGAGAATTCTTTTTTAGCTCACGAAGTTATGGCGTCATATTATATTGATATAATAAATCTGCATTATATATTACCCTGCACTAAAGAAAACAATAACTGAATGAGTCTCAAACATAAGTTTTTTTACTTACTTCGTTTCATCTTTCAAAAAACGAAAGAAACCCTCTTTATCCCGTTTAGCTGATTATGAATAGCCGTAAACAGCACAATTCACGACCATTATAAATAGTAACGTAAAATCAAGTTACATATTAACATAAAAATTTTGTAATGAATTGTAATGAAAAAATTAAAGCTATATTCAAATATCAAAGCCGTCTTCAAGCGAAAACGGCTCGCCGAGAGCCTCGTTTTCGTTCAGTCAATGTTACCGTCAATGTGCGGGGCGCAGTGCGGTAACTAAAGTTAGGGAGGGGCGGAGAGTGCCCGTTCTCATTACTTATTTGTTCTCTGCCGAAACCAACCAAAGTGGCGCGCGTGCAAAGTACCTCTAAGCGGAGGATTCCTTCTTTTTTTAATAAAACTGGACACGTGGCTACTGTTGCTTTGGAGAATCGTTGTACCGTGAATAGTGATTGGTACACGACCATTTGTTTGCCGGAAGTTATTGACAAACTCCGTAAAAATAATAGTAAACGCCGTACCATCTTGCACCACGATAATGCCAGTTCTCACACGGCCAGACAAAATTAAATGAATTTTTGAAGGTGAACAACGTTGACCTAATGAGCCATCCCGCGTACAGTCTCGACCTGGCACCTGGTGACTTTTATTTATTTCCAAAAATTAAGAACCAGTTACGCGGTCAACGATTTGCACCACCTGAAGAGGCTGTCGAAGAGTATGAAAAATAAATAAATGTTTTCAAAATTGGTTCATTCGTATGAAGAAGTGCATTAACGCTAACGGAGAATATTTTGAGAAACAATCAATTCATTTCTGACCATTTATAGTATTTTTTTCTTATGCGCCCGACGAATAGACATAAACAAGAACGTCTTTTTTTAAATTAATAATAATAACGCACACACTCATAGCTCCACACCAGAGAAACCCTGTATCGCAGGTGCAAGCTCATGAGAGAAATAAATGTAAGCCATACTAATATCTCTAAACAATATTTCACCGCACTGATTTTACACTGATCAAGACCATCGGCCACGTCAAGGGGGCGCACATCTCTAGCCATAACTTATATTATTTTTATGTTCACACTGATCCATGTAATTCTAATACATATTTCATGTATGTAATTGTACTAGAAGTTCATAGTTCTTGATACATCTTACAAGTGCACATGACCATTAATCATCACACATGTTTATAGCTCCATTAGATACAGCAAAATATAAACCACATCCTCTCCAATTCTTGTAACTCTATCTACAATATTAGTAGCGGATTTGCAGTCTTGGCTGCCCTAGCCCCCTGGCCATGTAGTCAGTACCAGCCGCCCCTTCTTCAGTACTCATCATATACTGTAGACTACATAATAAATTTACTTTATTGCCAACTTTTATCGAAATCAATTCAAAAATTTAGTTAACTATAATAGCACATGCGGTAGTGATAATATGTAGTGATGTAGTGATTATACATTACATTATAGATATGTAACATATCTATATTCTATGTATGAAAGTGATTTAGGAAGATTATTGTCATATGATGCGGTGCAGTGCCGCCCGCCATAATGTGCGTGAGCCTATAGAATATTCAGGTACTTTGAGTTATTTCTTGTTAGCATCAGTGAATTTTTTGTCACAATTGGCCACCTCTAAAATCTGGCCGTCCTAGGCCCGGGTCTACTGGGCCTTAGGACAAATCTGCCACTGTTTATCTGTATCTAATGGAGCAATAAATGTTATTGACGTAATTCCATTTATGCCATTCTTCCATGAGGGGTGTAAATGAGTGGAAGTTAGGTTTAATAAAGTAACAGCATGTTCCAGTGCCAAACTTACCATGCCACCAAGTAAGGCGTCCATCTCTCCAGCAGTAACCGGCTTTTTGGATGCAGCATCCACCTCACTCAGTGAGTTGCCCACTTGACGAGCCTCAATATCTAGCACGCGCTGTGCATTGCGATACCGTTTGTTGAAAATTTCATACGGCACCTAAGACACATAGAAAACTCAATAATTAACTCAAATTAAGTGTGTCAAATTATTATTAGACAATAAAGCTATTTTTAAATTAAAAAAAAATTTGTTGTCTTTCATTTTCACTTCCTTCCAAAGCTTGTAACTTGTTAATTAGATAAGACAGTAATGCATAACATTAAAATAACAAACTGCCTCTGCTGCATCGGCGGTTACCATGCCACACAGAGGTCCCAGGTTCGATTCCCAGGCCTAGAGAATTGTATGACTTACATAAATTTATTTTTCAGTGACGTGGGGTGTAATTCGAAAAAAGGTGGTCTATGTATGTGTCCATGGCACCCGCAACACTGGGTTTCCCTAGTGCGAACCTATGTTGAGTGTATGCGTTAAAAAATAAGTTAAATAAAATTATTAGTAGTTGTTAGTGACGCAAGCAATCAAGCATCCCATGACAGAAAAAATTGCATTTTTTAACTGGCCTAAATACAAAGTTTGCATTTAGTGGTCTGTCAGCAGGTATTTACTTAATTCATAGGCATAACATAGTTTAATTAGCTGTAAAATTAAGCTCTAGTAGACCATTCAAAGGCCTATGAATATGAACACTTGAGTACACGCATTTTTACCTTTAACTTTTGTAAACAATAAAATTATACCACAATTAATCACTTTGTGATAATATTCTAAACAATAAAAAATAATTTAAACACTGATATCTTCAAAACAGAAGAAACTATTAGATCAATAAATAACAAAAGCAACTCTTGTTTGACTGACTTATCTATAGGTGCGCCTATATATGAGACCCGTGAAAAATCGCTATTTACCTTCAATGTGGCATGCTCCAGTGACTTTAACTCGTTCATGTTGGGCGTAGGCCGGATATATTAGCTCTAGAACAAGCACACGTGAACACCTCGAGACTCGGACAGCTGGGAACGGAAGTTTAATTTCAATGAAAACAAAACTCAGCTGATTTCTATGGACGACACACAATAAACATATTATAGAAATATGCGTAATCTCACGTTGCAAACTGTTTACATGTAAACTAATGGCCACTAATTTAGGAATGGAATCGAAAAGTAACAATTAGAAAAGAAAATGTTATATTTGGAATCATAATTTACACAAAAATTTCAATGCAAACCTTTCACACACGATGAGCAAGTAAGGTTTGTTCAAAAACTTGATTTATGAAAATTATGGTCAGCGTGGAGAGGTATTTGACATTTACTCTATAATTGAATTACAAATTTTGCCTAGGAAGTTTATTTTATGTAACTTAATAGAATGACCATTGACTTACAATTATATGGACGCCGGGTCCGCGCAAGTGTCCGAACTTATAGGGCGTTAAAATCGTATACAGAGCGTCATTCACGCTTTAGTCTTCGTTTGTTCGGCTGACATTACAATTTAAATTCAACGTTTCAGCTTTTTCATATTCCTTTACATGTCACTACGTTTAAATAGGTTAACTTGGGACATTTTTTTCCTGGTTTTTGTATTATTTTGTATTTGTATGTCAATGAGAATGACCATAAAACCTTATTTTATTTCTAGTATAGGGCATAAAAACTGGGAAATTAAAATGAAATTATGGTGTATCGAGTTTCTAAGCGAACTCTAATGCACTTTGTGTGCACAGAATAAATGCTATCTCATAAGCGGAAGCGAATATCACATACCCACTAAAATCATTTTAGTCTTCTTTTTTCATTAAGTTACAAGCGCAAAAATTAGGCTAACAATTGTTGAAATTTCTAAACATCAAGATTTTCGCTCATTCACTCATTGTCTATAGTATTTTAATCAATATAAAACTTAAAAATGTTCTAGACCACTAATCATTCCGCGAAAATCATAGATTTTAAATTTAGTGGTTTCTATAAAGTGGACCTTCAATTTAAATTAAAAAAAAAACTATTTTGATGATTTTTAAATATTGCATAAAGTACCCTAAACGCTGCGCTAGGTCTTATTTTTTTCCATCCTCTAAACGCTGGGTATTTGACTATTCCCTTATTTTTTTCCATCCTCTAAGGCTAGGGTTCGTATTCTAGAAGTCTACTCAATGCTCAAGTCAGGACTTGAGTATGATTCAAAACACTAGAAATCATACTCAAGTCCTTGCCGTTAGGGTCGTATTTCCAGTGCTTGAAATCATACTCTAGTCTGCTCAAATCCTGACTTGAGCATTTAGTACAGTTCTGGAATACGAGCCTAAGACTCGTTTTAATTTTTTTTAATTATTCAATATACCTAATTCGCGTTCAGAAAACTTATTTATGAGAAAATCAATCAAACGAAGAGAAATGAAAAGTCTCTTGCGAATATCGATCAAGACGCATGAGCGAGAATCTTGTATATTTTGATCCTTCAAAACCATAGACAGTTTTTTATTCCATGCGGTTTGTCGGCGCGTCCGCGCGTCACTTTTCGTTACGCAAATCCGCCATTTTGTACGTCGCTGGCGGTGGTTTGGGGGATTACTTTCTTGTTTCAGTGTTTTTGCCACGAAAAGCTATAAAACTTTCTTGTAATTGACTTTGAGTACTGACTGTGAACAGAATTGACTGTATAGTGATACAAATTTACTTCAATTCCTTGTGCTCTCGTGATTTGTGTGTGCCCTATAATTGGAGCGCGTGGCGGGTGTCTCTTTGTTGTGAGAATCGGCGTTTTTACGGTGAGTTTCTTTAGTTTATAGTTAGTAAATGCGAGTTTGTGTCAGATCCGAGATGATAAGAAAGTGTTAGTGGGTGCTTTAAGTGTTATATCAGAGTAAATAGTATGAGAGTGGTAAGCGTCATGGTTGCCGTGGCCTGGCGGCAGGCGGTGGCGGCGGGCGCGGCGGAGGTGGCTCGCCGACCGACACTATCCTCTCGCGACGCCGACGCGTCACAACCGTCACAACTTTACGGACGCCCAACTACCGTGTTGGTTGTGAATTGACTTTCTAGAACAGTCCAAACTTGATGAATTTTAATTATTACATGTGTTTGTGACTTCTGATTGACAGAAGGACGCCACCCGCTGATTTGACCTACTTTGACGATATTTATTGTAGATAGTTGTGTATTGTATGTATCAGTACAGTGTAGTTTGGTTTTTAGAATTATTATTGATATTGGTGTACTTAGTGTCTGTACATATTGATTGGATTTTGTGGGAACACCCTTGTCTTCAAACAACACCGTAAATATAAGGTATGTCCTACAAACAGTTAATCCATGTGCTAACACCACAGGGAAAATGGTTTCTAAATGATGCCATCATTCACTGCTATTGATTTTCCTCTATCTAAATGTATTAAAGAAACTTGCATTGTATCTGTTTATTTACTCTTCTAAGTTTCAAAATATACGAAGTTCGCATAGATTTCACCACCAGCAGTGTTTTCACAAAGCCGAATAGACTATGTTTGTCAATTCATTTAAATGTTTCTTCACAACACGATGGAATTTTCCACTACCCTTGTCAATATACATATTTACTCTTTGTCTACATCTCTCACATAATCTCTATGTGTTATAGAACTATAAACAAACCTGCTTCTCACTGTACATTACAAACATGTAGAACACTATGTCTTTCAGTAAAGTTAAATTAGTGAGTACTCAATCAAAGTAACTTGAAACTGGGTTTAGTAAAAGTAAAGTAAAGGTAAAAGTTGGTGGGTAAAGTTTGAATGGATTTCATTGCAAACTATTGTGTTTAATTATTTAAATATTTTGGTTTTGTTAACTGTGGGCATGGGAATGCTTTTGAAGTTTAAATGAATTTGTTTATATGAAGTTTTTTTTGTGACTTGAGTTATGTTTGTTAGGTAGAAGTTATTTTAATCCAAGTTAAGTTCTTAAAATTTGTCGAATTCAAAGATCAGTTACTCATTTATCAGCTATAATAGTAATTGAATTTGGATATGAATTGACATTTTTCATATTTGAAAAGAAGTAGCAGTCGAGCTACTGATGAAAGAGTTTGTCCAGGGCTAGTATTGCCGCCTTACCTATTTCTGCCGCCGAGCAGTAATGCATTACTGTGTTCCGGTTTTGAAGGGTAAGGGTGCTAGTGAAATTACAGGCACATGGGACTGCACTGCGGTGGTAGTGACTCTCAGATTTTTACTATTTAAAGCTCTGAGTTACACTGCAACTGTTATGGACAGGCATGTAACTTACCCACATGCGCAAAACTTGTTCATCTCATGACAACCTAGACTTTAGAATACAAACTGTTATTTGTGATGTTCTCTAATGAATGTATTTAAAAACATACTGCATTAATTCATGTTGAACTAAATTACACATTATGAACAAGTGAGTTCTAATCCGGATTAGGTCAAGTAATTACTGCAGAAACTGTATTTATCTGTAAAATGTCATGAGCATGCATTAACTTACAAAGTTAGTATACAGCATATAATATGTAACAAGCAAATGTCTATAAATGTCAAAATGCAACGAGTCAAAATTTGGCACAGTAACAAACAGCTGCATTAACAATACATTTCGCCACATGCAGCTGTAAAGTAAAGGAGCCAATGTTAGCAAAAACTATTTGTTATATAACTACATATTTATACATGTATTATATTTGACTGAATTAATGGTTTTGTTTAACCATGCCCATTGATTTAATTGCAGCCTCTAAAACTCTTAATCACGATAATAACGTTTGAAGTCTTTTAAGAATATATATTTGCATAAAAGGTCTGCTGTTAACAGTAGTAAACAAAAAACTATCTTAATTTCTAATAGTACATAACCTTTCACATAATATACGCTTATAGATGCTAATAACCCAAAACAAGGTCTTTATTGTAACACCCATACCAATTACCACATATCGATTTTATTATGTATATCATAAACAAAGATGAGCGCGTTGGTTTGCCTCGACCCATCGCGTACATACCTACCGTGCGATGTCAAGATGAGATATCTCGAGTAAGTGTAGTGTAGAGGCATACTTGTAGTTATGGCTAAGTATAGCTGAATGCGGCCGCACGATCTCTGGCTTTAGGGTTGGCACATTTGTTACTGAATTTCATTGCAAAAGTTCATAACTAATAATGATATGATATGTCGTTCGGATATAACTTCGGAATAATGGCTTATAATCGGGAAAATAACGCCAGAATTTTTATGACTATCAACCACTGTGTGAGGGGATGATATGAAACAGCGTAAGACATCCGCAAAACGAAGAAATTGCTCGTGAAGGCATTGTTCATTTCAACAATCTCTAAGACAAACATTGTTTTTGCGGCTCGTAACGATAACAATTTAAAATTAAAATTAACACATCACACGTTTTCTGCCGTTCAATAGAGCGTTGCTGAGTTTTCTCACATTGTTCCATGCAATAGTGAATAAAAATTACAACTCTTTTTTTTGTCAATATGACATCCATAAAACTTGGATATTTCTTGGTAAATAGCCGGTGTGTGCAGTGCAGAGACCACATCCGTTCACACTACTGTATGTGTGTGTCGACTAATACGAGACAGTCGCACACATGGACAGGCAACCGGCTCGGCCGCTCGCCGATCAGCTATCGATTGAGTTCCTTTTAAATACTCGCCTACAATCAGCGGCAACTTGTTCTTTATTATTCTTTGACCGCGCACAGGTACAGACCTTTTAGATTTCTTTATTTAGAACAGAAATCGTAAATTGGTGTTGTCACGCTACATTTTCGCTATTTGCTCTTAGCGCTTAATAAGTAACAAAATGTGTAACATGTGATGTAACCTCGACGTTATACATTTAAAATGACCTTTTTGGGGACCCAGTTGATGGAATTTTATTATTGTTGGAGTGAATTTCTTCGTATAAATGTTATTGAAATCACACACTAGAAACAAAATTTTATGAACTAATAACTTTGCAAAACAAATAATAAGACGTCAAGTAATTATTTCAAGACTTCAACATATTGAAAGAAATTGTCGTTAATAATCGTCAAGCCACTTGTACAAGTAATGTATGCGCATAAATTGCGACAGAGTCAAAAAACTTTTTGCGGCGGTTCACTTAAATCGCAAATTGGCT